TAAACTAGAAGATGCTATTTATGTCTTTTGCCTTTGTATCCCTTACTGTGCTCTACTGTGCTCTTTTATCGCTCAATAATCTGGCTATTAACAGAATTTTGAATTTTTTTTTTCCTGCATGAAGAGAGAAGCTTAAAATGGAATTAATACTAAAGAAAGAATGAAAAGGTCAAGCAGGTTTCAGGTTTGGTATTCAGATACAGATTTCACCAAGTCCAATTAGAAAAGAGCAAAAAGTCCATTACTGTTTCAGTTTTGTGAACTAGAAGAATGATATTTCAGTCCAATCATCAGTCAGTGAACATTCATCTCTTTTGAAGTGACCACCAAAAAAAATCCAATGAAGTTGACACTCTCAACATGCATATATTGGCTTGAACTATTTTTGAAGCTGAACCACCCTTCTGCCAGGTGTCAGCTGGAGAAGGTATGCAAGAGAAGTGACCATTTCCTACTTTTCGTGGGTTTAAAACAATTCTTTTGTCTGGAGGTGATCTAATGCCTTTCCCTGGCATCAAAATCACCTTAAACAAAAACATGTCCCTTTTTAAGAATATGCTGTGTGCACAATGTGCTCTTCCAGAGAGATGAAGTATTAGCATTTGAAAGGATGGATGGGAATGCATATTTTGGAAAGACCTTTGTTCAGAGAAGTACTGCTATATTCTATGTGCACATCACCATGGTAATTGAAATATTTGCCACTGATGAGAAGGTATACAGCACAAGACTTTTGCCATTTTCCATGATGTGGTTTCTAGCAAAGAGTGCTATTTGTCAGTTTAAAATTTATGGTAGGATATTTAGCAGTTGTGCCTGCTGTCATAGAGATGGATGTGGTTTGAAAGCACGAAACAAAAAGGAACAGGTAATGACATCTTCTTCTTGCAGTTTAATATTCTTCCCCATTTCCACTTAAAATGTGAACCATTCTGGAACTGCTAGGCCACAAAGCAAAACCAAAGCTGTGCTCTCTGTATAGCTTTGTCAATTAGGATGCTGGTAACATGAAACAGTTTATTCCTTTCTTCCCATCATCACTGCTTTCGGGACATTGTGGCAAACAAAACAAGCCTTTCTCTTCCCTGAGGTCACTCCGTGCATGTGATCTCTGTGAAGGGTGTAGCAGCCACCGAGAAATGTGTGAAGGTTTATGTAAGAGAATTACATGATGAATCTTATGAAGGCATATAGAATACACATTTCCATGGCAGGAATAACCTCAAGGAACCTCATTAACGTGACTCACTTAACAGAGAGGAAAAAAATATCAAATGCTTGCACTACCATGTGTGTAGATCTTACGTTTAAAAAAGTATTCTGTAGGAAAAGGTGCAGTACAGGTATCATGGTGAGTAGTACTGCTTAGTGAACTGCTCGGGATACAAAAGGGATGGCTCTTTTTTGCTTTTTCATGCTGTGGCCAATTGTCTCTCTAGTTTTCTGTTCCTCAAAGTAAATCCAGCTCTCTAGAAAAATGTCTGGTTTTGTGTTGTCCTCAGCACTTAAGAACAGGGGTAACCTCCATACAGAGCACTCTGTACTTCTGTGCTTTATTTAAGGCAGATGGAAAATAGAACACAGTTAAAAGGTGAGGGGTTTCCTACTCAGCGCTGCCCCTTTTATCTCCCTCTTCCAGTACAGGATGGAGAAGTTTTCATTCTTGTTATGGTATTGCATGTGGAAGAGATAAGTGCCAATGCCAGGCATTTATTATTTGTGCAACATTTTGGTTACCAAATGACCCTGTGCTTAGTCTTATGTAATGCCTGAGACAGGTTCCCTAGAATGCTGAAATGTTTTGCTGTTTGTAGCTTCTGGGATCAGCTTTCCAGCCAAGTTGCATTTAAAGCATCCTTCAGTGATCTTCCATGCAGGGAACACTAACGCACATGTTTTAATTTTTGTTGCCTACCACACCCTTTCATTCTAGCCTGGGTACCAGGGTGAGTTGCTTTCATATTGATTTTATTAGACTAGTGGCAGACTAAGACCCCTTCATTTTTTGTCCTGCTTAGGCATCAGGCTGAAATACCCAAACATATACACTGACCTTCATAGGGACCCCACACAGTGACTCTGACCGGGCAGGGACCAGCTCCCTAGCACATAAAGGCAGCTGAGTGCCAATTCCTGAAAATCATGAGGCGAAGCTCTTTCCTCCAAAACTCATATGAAAGAGCATTAAGCATTTTTTCGCTCCAGTGTTTGTCCACAGTCTGTATCCTGTTTCCTCCTGTGGCATCAGAATAAACCCCTGTCTTCCTTCTCCCTTTGAGCAGTGCTTCTCTGTGTTCACTGCGCTTCATTACCTGAGAGCCGCAGGCTGGTGCAGAGGAGACTTGTGACACTGAGATCAGCTGAAGCCTAATGGGAGAGGAGTCCGCGTGACTGCAACCGCACGGACTTGTCAGGCGGTGCACTTTAGGTAAATAAAGCCCGCTGTGCTCACTGTTACGCTTCTACATTATTTTACTCTTTTTTTTTTCTTCTTTTTTTTCTTTTTTTTTTACCTCATGAAGCTGCTGCTGCAGGTTTTGGCCTCAAAATTTTGTTTCTCAGGATAAAGAGCCACTACTTCTGTATCGTCAGGCTGCAGCATGACATGCAGCAGAGGCTTCATTATGCATAAGCAGAGCCATCGCTAAGGTAGGCAAACACTCTGTGGCTCTGCAGAATAAAAGGGAAGTGAGAAACGGAATGAGCAAAGGTATTATTTGCTGACAATAATTGTTTCCAGTTGTAGCTGATGGCAGGGATTAATCACAGTGTTTTAACACTTTATTTGGGAGCAGGGGAAATATTAAGGGAGGGAAGAGCTGAAAAGTGCTCTTCCAAATCTCCCCTGAAAAGTTAGTAAATAGTACTGTGGAAACAATGCTTAAGGTTTTGAAACTTGCAGTGTGTCTTTTATTGAAATGGCTTTGAACCCTTATACTCCTTTCTAAATAGTAACAGAGATGCAGATAAACCTAGCTAAAAGGTGGGAGAAAAACATCGCATACAATTTAGCATCCATGTTTGTGGAGTAATGTATATTAGTAGTTACAACTTCATTTTTTGCCTATAATTAAATCTAGATTAATTACATTTAATGCAATCCCCATTTTAGTTCTCTCACACCAATGCTTAACTTCAGCTGCAGCTAGCAGAACTCTAGTCCAGTGCTGTTCTCTGCAACCTCTACCCTTTCCTGATTTAAATACATCCTAAAGCTACTGTTTTTCCACAAACCCACAAGAAACTATTGTGTCCTAGTCTGCCATATATAATTTGTTACAGAATGAACCACTCTCTAGCATGGAGGGAGGGGTACAGAGAAACGCCTGAGTCAGGAGTAATTGTCACTTTCATTTAACCAAGGCCAGTGAAGAAGCAGTGCTGTAGCTACATGGACCACAGCATACACCTACATTAAGCAAACTCATTTTTACATCATATTAAATAATGATAATGAATTTTCACTCATGGGGTATATTCCCAATATTTGTAAAACTTCAGGATTAAGCCTGTGACTGTACACCTTCTAAGTGGATTTTCAGCCAAAACAATTTGCAAATGTTTTTGATCAGGTGTATTCCTGTAGCACCTTTAAAAATTGAAACACTACCAACTCTAAGGATATTTGCTAGCCTGGTTTTGAAATAATTTCTGTTGAACTCTGATGAATTATCCCTCTCTCTTACTCAAGTTTTTCACTGGCAATGTAGCATCTGACCAAATCCTTGTTATTCCATTTACTTGCTTCCCCGAGGTTTGTCCTCTTCGCTGCTTTGAAGAGGTGGAGCAGAGGAGAGCAACACCTTCCCCACAGTTACACCTCCCCCTCTTTTCTCAAAGATTACTTTTCTGCAGCATTTAACCTGCACACAGGGAAAGCTCTTGGTTGGCTTTTAGCAGTTAACTGCAGTCAGCTTAACACTTTATGAAATGCAGTTTGCCCTTTCAGGTGCTAGCCAGATTTAACTTGCTTTATCTTCAGAGCACACAAAAAAAGGAGAAATGCTTTAATTAGAAGTAGCTTTTTTGTTGTAAACTGCCAGTGGGAGCAGGGCAAATTTCCTACCCTTGTTGGGTGGGACAAAATTGGTATCAAACAACAATTCTGAGGTATAAATTACCTGTGCCTGTTCCTAGTAGGATTTGAGGTTGAAATTAATATCTTGAGAGTTGTCGTTGTGGATGAACACATCTAACTTTAGATTTAATCAAATAATCATAAGCATAAATGTGGTTCTAACATGAAGCAATTTTCAGGAGAGAGATGACCCAGAGCTTGCTGACTGCCTTTGTGTGCCATTAAATGCAGAGTTCTGCCAGTCTGGAAGCTTCTTCTGCCTGGTACTGTCTGGTTTTCCATTATTTTTCCCCTCAGATTTTTTCTCTTTCATTGAAGTGAGTGTTCACCTTTGAAAGAAGCAGCTGTGTGGGCTCCATTTGAGACTAAAAAGGATGCCAAAACTGCCATTTAAATTCTGTAACACAGGCACTGCAATTACAGAGAGTCCCTTGCACAACTAGGTGCTCCTGCCTGCTTTTGATGGAGAGCAAGGAGATTTTTTTCACTCCTACTCAACTTAGTGGTTTGTCCTGATTTTTCATTAACTTGTCTTTGCCTAGCCAGCAACTCTTAAATACTTTTCTTTCCCCTGTCATTCCCTTTTCTCTATTCCTCTTCCCTGTTCTCCTTTGTCTCTTACTTTCCATGACACAGGGTAAGAATCCCTCCTGTGGGGGTTGTTTGCTCTGGTAAGAAGCTACCACACCACAATACAGGTTGAGGTATGAGGTGGACTTCAGCAAAGTCCTCTGCCAAAATTAAAATTCAGCTCAGTCCCGCCTCTCTGAACTGTGTATCTTAGCCTTAAGGTGATTTTCAAGCAACAAGGGCAAAATTAGACCGCAAATAAAAATGATCCAGAGGGTAAGTGTTTGGCCTCATGTATTTGCATTTGCAGGCAGATGTATTTATGAGTCCTCTTTTGGTTTGTGTTTTGTAGGACGAAGAAGGTCAGCCACTGCTACCGTATCGTTTACCGGCACCCGGAGAGGACGCTAACGCAGGACGAGGTGCATTGCATCCATCAGGCTATTGAGGAGTCAGCAGTTCGGGAGCTTGGGGTGGAGGGCAGGTTCTAGCAATGCTGCTCTGGAGCCCTGAGGACAGTACTTATTTTTTTCCTTTTTTTTTCTTTCTTTTTTTTTATTTTTTCTTCTTTTTTTGGGGGTGGTTTTAGGTCACAAGTAGAGAGACAGGTTTTGTGACTGAACACAGAAAGCGATTGATGAATGGGCAATGGTAAAACTGGCAGGTAATAAACATTACTACTGAGAAATCATTGATGAAACGCTGGTGCTTTATTTTAAGAAATGGGGGAACAGCAGTAATGTAAGATTTCCCTCCTGTTACGATAAGCAATACACTGCCTGGTGGTTTTCTGTGTTGTTAATTGGTCCCTCGGTTCCATTAAACTGTAAATACTTGGCATTATTTCTGTGTTGACAGGATCTTCTGTCCATGTAACAAGTGAAGCAAATCAGAGACACAGATTAGTTCAGGGAAGAAAAACCCATTCTGGCCCACCACACCCCCAATCCCATCTTTTTTTATTTTTTTTTTTTTTTTTTTTTAATAAGAGAGGTAAAATTTTGCTTCAAGAAACCTTCCAAGAAGTACTTCTTGTGAAGTTTGACTCTCTTGCCTTCAGAGCCCATGGGTGTTGCTTTCATCAGCTACAGAGGAGAAGCCAGTGTGGCTTGGGCCAGGCTTGGCTGTCTGCAAATGCTGGGTCATTGACAAGTTCTTCCTGTTAGATCCACTGAGCTGGGCAGAGCTTAGTGAGGTGCTCCAAGCTGTGCCACCTTCACCAGGGGAGAAGCTCCCTTGTCTCACTTCTCTTTGCATAGACACCAGTTCAAAATAAATCTTACCCCCGTCACCATCAAAGTGTTGATATCACCTATGGCAGAATGGCAGTAAATAGAAACTCTTCCCTACAATGCCCTGAAAAACAGCTGCCTTGATCTCTCACAGTATCTTGCTATCTAGCAGCAGAGTCTGCTCAGAAATATGACCTTTAAGGCAGGAAACCAAACTAAAATGGGATCTGCTGTTTGAGGCTCCAGTTGCTTTACAGGATGCTTGCCTTTTTCATTGCAGGTTATAATAAGTAAATTCTGGTGGTGATATGGTGCTAGGGCCTTTAGAAATGTTCAAATGACCTGATAAATACTTGATGAGCCATTGCAGATGCTGATATGGAATATGGGACCTGTTTTGGCTTGTGATAGCATTTCATACAGTCTTGCAGGTCACATCTGGTTGCTGTGCAGACAACATTCCCTCCTTCAGGGAAGAAGGCGGTAAAAATGCTGCAATAAACAGCATCTAACACTGATTTATACCTTATCAAGAAACATCTGTTCAGCAGGCTTGTACTCAACCATACGAAGCCTGTTACTATTGCAGATGTGACAGAGGCAGAGAGCTCATTTTAATTTCATTACTCAACATATTTAGCTGTGTAAACAAATCCTAATCTAAATCGCTGTTGTGTTATCCAAATAACTTGACGATGAAAACAGTATGCTAGACTTTTTATAAGGCAAAAAGAATGGGTGCCATTTAGGCATCAGAAAAACCTATGTGGTTATTTTTAAACCACCATCTACCAAGATCCATAAATACAGCCTGGCCCATTTGATGTTTCTCAGTCTCCTTAATCCTTCACCTTTTCAGAATTCTCAGTGATGACATGAGGAGGAGGAGGAGAAGGAGGACTTACCTGAATGGCACTGAGCAGTACTTGTTCTGAGACAGGGCATGATTGATGCTGTCACACAGGGCAGCAGATAATGTGGATCTTAATTGATGAAATTGTCTGTGGAGAGAGTACCATAACCTTGTGTGCTGTATGAAAGAACTAAGTCTCTTGGGAAAACAGGTGAACATCTGTGGTGAAGTAGGTCACAAGATTTCCCTCTTAATTTATTGATTAGTGAAGTTTCCTTTTTCTACTCCCCAAATCTTTCAGTTCTTCTTTGATTCTGATCAGTCAATTTTGAGGGGAAAACAAGGAGGACAAAAATTGGACCTTGAGCCTTTTTCAGTGCAGCCACAGGACATAATGTCTGGCTTTGCAAGTTTGGATGTTATAGGATCAGCCCATATCCAGACACTAACATCAGCTGTGTTTGACTCAATGATTTTAGAGCTCTTTTCCAAGCTAAACAATTCTGTGACTCGCTCTCTGGATTTGCACTCCAGTGAGCACAGGCTTCCTGCAACAGCCAGGTCTTGATGGAGTAGTGTTATCCTTTGAAACCTGAAAAGTTGATCTCACAAGGTAATAGGATAAGGGGGAAATTGAAAGCTTTCCTTGAAGGTGACCTGACACCATGGAATCATCTTCTGGAGTACATGTTTTCATAGGAGCAACTTTCAGGCAAAAACGTGAACCATTAAGTTTAAAAAACCCAACAACCTCTTCAGAAGCAAGTGTGATTCAATCATATGAAGATCTGTAAAATCATGTGGGCTGGCTGTGAGCATAATATAAATACTGGGGTATGTTTAGCTTAGGTAAACCTTTGTCATATATGTTCTAGGATTAATCTACTCTGAAGACCTATTATTCTGGCAAGGATTCACCACAAGTAGCAAAGCAGACCTCAGATCAAAAGGCATCAGTGTTGCACTTTTATGCTCCTATCCTCTGGAAAATATGATCTTCCCTTCAAAGCTTGACCTTAATTTTACTGGGAAATTTGCTATGGATAGTAGTAAACTCTGAAACCATGGGATCCCTTGTGGGTGCTGATGGAGAGCCCATAAGAATCCCAAGGTTGTAAAAGCCATGATTTATTTTACTGCTGGTCAGAGACACAGGATGCTAACAGGACTTAAGAGACTGGACTGATCCTGGTAGGAGTATGACTGAGGAAGGTCTTGGGACAGACAGTGACCAACTCTGTCAAAGAATGACCCACTGCTGTCACTTGGATTTTCTCAAGACATATTCAGCACAAAGGTGGGTGAACTGCCTTGAAGACCAAGAGCAACATCACTGCCAAGGTAAGATTTCTTGCTGGTCTCTGCTACCCTATAATCTGTCTCATGAATATCCCCCAGCCTTGGATGAGCTCCAAGTCTAGTGAAGGGGGATGAATTCCCGAATATCCGAGTGATACCATGCCATGTGGAAATATTAAGGGGAGCAGCATTTAAGTAATTAATAGGCATGCTGACTGACTAGTGAGAGGCACGATACACTGCTTCTCGTTTTTATCAGCTCCTTGTGTATTTTTTTGTGTGCCTCTGGGTTTTATATCAGCATCCTTTAATAAAAGAGGGGAAAGTCAATTGTAGCAAAAGAAGCTACAGAAGTACTGGCTGGGCATCTGTGTGACTGAACAGTATGTACCATTTGAATGTTGTGGGTGCTGGTTTTCTTCATAGTTGCCATTGGTTTTCAAGCTAGCTGTGATTCCTGAAAGATCAAAGATTTAGTTTTAACACCCAGTTTGGGATCTTCCCAGTAAAAGGCAGCAGATTTACAGTGCACTAAGTTTTACCTGGTCCTGATGTTCTTTTTAAAGGTGCTGCAATGGAAAGGTGGTGTGATCTAAATAGGCAAGAAATGGCTCTGTGTTTTGCAGAGGTTTTGATGTTTTCAGTCACCTCTGCCATGGTATTGCCAGGTGTGATCAAACAGTCGCAAAAATCTGAAATCAGTTTTCTACTGGGAATCCAAACTTTTAGTAAATCACTGATGGTCATTATTGCCCTTCCACTGAGAGTGTTACTGCTGTCCCTTCTGCAGCTGGTGGCTGTACTGCAGCACTGAATTTACTGACTTCTTATTCTGTACCTGTATTGAGTTTCTCAACTACTGACATATTGGTCTCAGGCCTTCAATAATTTTGTGTAGGGATTAACTTTTTTTTTTTTTTTAAGTGGGAAAAAAAAGTTGTGGGCTTTTCGTGTGGCAGTTTTTATCTGCAGTGATTGGTGCATTTCAACTGTCTCAGGAAAACTCACAGTCAAGACAGGGCTCTTTGGTGGTTCATTGAAGTAAACACAAGGAGTCTTGCCCTGAAAAACACAATTATGTCCATATCACTGAGATCATATTTGGGCAAAACTAAAGAACCTTGTCTTCACTGTGGGTTGACTGAAGGTTGACTGGTCCTTGTTAGTTAAGCCGGGGTCAGAAAGCACTTTGTATTGCCACCACCTCCCCAAACACACACAGAAGCAGTTTTATGCACAAGGACATTGTGTCAGATTCAGTGTGAGCCTATAAAATGATTGTGCTGGGTATTTCAGGCTTGCTAGTTGGTGAACTATCTCCATCTGAATTGTTACCATCTGGGAGAGAAAATGGCTTTGTACTTCAGCTCTGAAATAAGTAGCCATATTTTTAAAGCTCAGAGCTCTCTTCAGCTACTGTCTGCTGTGTGTCTTTGCTCAGAGATGACTGTTTCTGTAAAACAGATTTGCTTTCTGTGTAGAACAGGCCATATTGACTAATTGCACACATCCTGATCAAATTTTAGATATGTAAGCATTGCCACCAAAACTGAAGCAGTCTTGTGATGACCTTGAACAAATTTGTAGGGGACACAAGAAACCAGCCACTGGTTACTTGCTACCTGCTTTTAAATGTTGGTGCAACCACATCAGAATTTTAAGCTGAGTTATCTCAGAGGAGACAACTGCAGTTCAACACAGAGTATGGACATATGCTGGGTGAAGGCACTGACTTCTCCAGACTGTGTTGTATAAGGTTTGATCATCATTAACATCTGATGCACGCAAATGTTTGGCAGTTTTCGTGCTTTTGTGCTTTTGTCAGATGGCCTCTGTCATTCTATTTATGCCCACTGTTAACTAAGTAGAGTCTGGTTTCGTCTGCCTTTTGTACTTAGCCTTCTGACACGACCTTGCTTTCTCATTTCAGTTTTGCTGGTGAAATTTGGTATAACTTTGGTGAAGAAACAGTGCCAGGCTGCAGGCAGGGAGATTTATTACGCCACAGCCTAAAGCCTGCGCTCCTGCACCACATTACTGCAGGGTCTCTCTGTTCTCACCCTCTGGATGCAGGTGATTAACACGTGGTCCAGGGAATTGCGCCTCTGCCTGCTCAGTAATTTGCTGGGCAGCACTGCAGTCATCCGGAGCAGCTGCCACTTAAATGGGCAGTAGATTGTTCTCTTTTTATTTTAGTGCCTGCAGCTTCGCCATGTGCCACAGCCAGACACACTGTGTTGGTGTTTGCTGCAGCAAAGCATCTATTAGCTGCATCTCACAATGTGCTGCCTGTGCAGCCAATTT